GGTGGCCGGACATGAACGTGCCGGAGGACGTGCGCGGCGTGCTCGGCATTGTGTGGGAGGTAGCGTGCGCGGTGGGGCGGGCGGAGCGCGGGTTGAGTTCCGCCGCAATGGAGGCTGACACTCGAGCGCATACTCGAAGGCGATGGACGCGAGCGAGAACGGGGTAGCCGACGAGACGAGCATGCTGCAGCGTGCGCAGTGGTGGTGCTCCACTGCAGCGCGGGCGTGGGGCGCACTGGGGGGTTCATCGCGGTGGATGCGGTGCTCGATGCGGTGCGCAGAGGCGCCCTGTTTGCGTTTCAGGGAAGAGTCTTCCTTGCTTTGCGGGTGGTCACCGTAGAGGAAGGTCTGGTTGAGGAGCACGACGTAGGTGGCCCAAACCTCGAGGCGCACCTTTTCCTTGCGGTCGCCGAAGCGGGAAATGAGGACCGGCGAAACGTCCTTGTAGACGGCCGAGAGAAGCTCGGGGCGTGTCCCGACAATCGCTGCGAGCAGTTTCGTTGCTGAGCGACGGATTTTATAAGAAGTGTCCTCGTCATCGGAATACCTGCGTAGAGAATTTAGAGGCGTGCAGGAAGAACCGAGGAAATTCACGGACTCGTCGTCCAGTTCGGCATCTTCATCGTCGTCGTCATCCGCGTCTGCCATTTCCTCGTCCTCGTCGTCTCCCGCGTAGTTCTATTAAATGCTCAGTTGTTGGCAAGGAAAGAGAAAAGACGGCATACAGGATCGTACTTGATGAACTAACTTCCTGCCTGCATAATCGGCGCCACGCATGGGGTGATCTCTGTGGGGCACCGCAACAGCAGCGCCTCGAGCGCCTGCATCGAGTCAGCACACAATGCGCAAGTGGTTGCAGAAAAGACTTGCTTGTAAGCTCCCCTCGCGCAGATCGTCGTCGTCGGGCTGCACGGCTTTGAGTACGCCGGGGACGATCTCGGCGAGCACGGGGGCGATCTGGGTGGGTGCGGTGCGGGCAACGGCAGCGACGAGGTGCACGGTCGTGCACTGTTTCTCGAGGTTGGCGTTCGACGCAAGGAAGGGGAAGACGTGAGTTGCGAGAAGGTCGGAGAAGAGGTGGCCTTGCGAGATGGGGACGAACTGGGCGAGAGTAATGATGGCGCGCTTGCGGACGACGGGCCGGGGGTGGACGAGGAGCGGTGCGAGGACTGTGAGGGGCTGTGGGGAAAGTGTCGCGCTGGAAAGGTGCGCCGGGAAGCGCGAGATGAGGATGGAGAGAATGGCGAGGGTTTCGACGAGGGCCTCGGGCGGGGTCGTTGGCTATCGAAGCTTACAATAACAATTGAAGTGGAGATTCAGCAGACACACATTTGAGATTTGGCCCAGCAGTTTTGGGGTCAATGTGGGGCAGGCAGTCGCCGCGATCTTTCCGTCTGGCGGGAGTTCGGCCGTAATTGTCTTGAGCGCTGCACAAGATTTTAGCGCTAGAATGAAAGAAAGAAAGAAATAAGAGACCAGGACCGGAGATATCGCGCAGTTCCTCATCCTGACCCCCAGAGAACACCGGGGGCAAAAGCCGACGCATATTGTTTGACATGCGTCAAGCGCATGTCATTCACAGGTGCCATCAGTACCCAACAAAAGGGCCAATAATCCCTGTGGCGCCTTTGTTTTTGGGCCCAGTTCAAGCCCAAAAACAAAGGTGCCAAGGAGATGATTGGCCCTTTTGTCGGGTGCTGATAACACCTGCGAATGACATGTGCTTGACACATGTCAAAACGACATGCGTCGGCTTTTGCCCCCGGTGGAAGTCAATGGGCTTGTCCACGACCGTCTCCATCTGCGTCTGCCGGATAATCTTGATCAATTGGCCGAGACTGTGCGCCACACATGAATGCTGAGACCGACGAGCCGCGCCGAGGAGACGTACCATTTCACAGCCTTGCTCGGATATCTTGTCCTCGACGAGGGGCAGCACCTGCATGAGGATGTTGTTTTCAATAACCTCGTCTCCGACAAAGCAGGTCTGATCCTGCTCGATCTTGGCCATCAAAACTTGAGCTGCATGTCCCAGCTAGATATCACTTCCACCACTACCATTCCTATACAAACGCTTGCATTGCACTCCCAAACACATCTCCACCTCCTCCCGCGGCCTCGACTTCATGCGCGATTACACCGAACAAGACTTCCAGAACGCGCTATCGACGACGCCGTCGGCCAGCGATCGCCCGGGCTCGGTATATGGTTTGGAAGTTGTCCAAATCGACTGGAAGAGGGTGCTCAAGGGAGGAAGAAGTAAAGTGCCTGTACGCCGCACCGAGCAGCTTTCTGCTCGGCAGGGGTGGCAGCGGGGGCAATGGCGGCCAAACCACGAGTGGCTTTCTTTGCTTCGCCAGAGGAGTTTGATACATCTTTGGCATTGCGGGAAATGGACCGTTCTCCCGCAATAATGGCGGCAATGGCGGCTCATTTCTGCCCGGCAGGGGTGGCAGTGGGAGCAATGGCGGCCAAAGTACAAGTGGCTTTCGTCGGTAGCCACTAGCCGCGGTTTCTAATCGTGAGCGCCTGTCCGGATGAGAGGACATTTCGCAAGTCCAATCGTGCTTAGAGGTCTATTGGCCTAGAATTCTACCAGGTGACAGAGCAGCTAGCAAAACGAAGGTATTAGAAACCGATAGATCAATGCGCGAGGAATCTACTAGGCGACTAGGCACCAAGAAGAAGAATGGTGGATGATGGTTTTCGACAAATCATGTAGTACGTGATCATGTGACCTGTCTCTCTCGCTGTCACCGAGGAATTTAAAAGTATACTGGACTTCACTCTAGAGTTCAAATATCCAAATTAATTTATGTACATTCATATATATATTCAGGTAATTTATGTACGGTAAATTACAGTCGTGAATAATGAATTAAAATTATACAGGGAATGAATTAAAATTATGCAGTGCATATAGCAGTGTACTGGTTCCAAGATGACACTATAAAATGGGCCTATTATGACGGTGAAACATCGCGGGGTTTGGTTTTGACTGGGAAGGGTCATGAGCCGGCAGCAATATCAATATTATGTGGCAATTACCTCGTTTCTTGCCAGTGGTGAAGCCGGGAAAGACAGCGGTATTATCGTCGGAGTCCATAAGGATTGGGGCATGGGGAGCGCGCTGGTAGCGGGACTTCGTGGGCGATTTATTATTAGAGTGTGTGTAAACTTTGGCAGCTGCAGGGCAGAACACAGACCTTGCAAGTTTTGAATTCGATACTTTGAAGTCTTCGCCTTCACTATGGCGATGTTTGAACTCCTCGATCGTCTGAAGTTTTGCCGTATATTTTCGACGAACTTCCCTGGCCCGGGCGCGCTGAGTGAGTTTGATAGATGCTTTATTGTTCCAGCCCCAGTATGTACACACAGTGCTACCAACCCTTCCAAATTTACGCGTCGAGCCCTACCATCCCGGTAAAAAGGAAAAAACTCAGCCCGTCTCCGATGTTTTGGAAACTGCATTGCCCATGAGGGGGAACCCAGAGCATCCTGCCCGATGTAAGGATTTGAGGCGCCATTTCGTTTATCATGAAAGAAAATTTGCCTGCGAGTACAGTAAAAATCTAGACAAATTCAGAAGAATAGTCAAATAGGAAGGAATGAGAGAAACACAGTGGTCCTGAGTGCTGAGCCATCCAACCGTACAACATTAGGGCTGACGTCTAAACGGCGGAGGCCGGTCGCAAAGAATGCATGGTACCAAGAGTACCTCGGCGGGCTGATAAGAAGCTAGGTACTGCACGTTAAAGGTTCCCAAAGTCTTGTGTACATCCTGAGACTTGCGGTCGCGTAACTCCTCCTGCCCCCTCGGCGCCAACAGGACCTCAGCGGGTTGATAAGGAGCTGAGGACCACGCGTCAAAAATTTCCAAAGTATTGTAAACCTTGAGGTCTCACGGTCGTTGGGTACATTTGCACGTCTCGGCGACAACAGAACCTTGGCTGATGTTATATTTTTGCACACGGACTTTGGTCCGTCCCCGACTTCCGGCCTCCGACCTCCGGCCTCCGAATGTTCGGAGGTCGGAGACGGAAGATCATCGGGTTTTTACGCAATGAAGGTTTACTGAGCATTTCCCGTTTATCTGTTTTTCCATTCCTTCTTGACTTCTCGTTTATTGTTTGCTTAGTCAGCATACTTCTTCACCCAAATTTGGACTCTCGCTTATTGTTATGTTTTGATTTACCATATTTGGGTTAACAATAACGGACTTAGTATAAATACGCTTTAATAACCTCATGTACTTCAGTTTGATTATAAACATTGCTTTGCTCCTTGCTTTGCTCCCGAGTCTTCCCCCAGTGTCCCTTCGGACTCCGTCATCCTCCGTCTTATCCATCGGCCTAGGATAGTACATACACCCTGACCTTCCTGTGGTGTTTGCGCTCACCTCCGATATCTCCGACCTCCGGTCTCCGGTCTCTGACCTCCGACCTCCAATCTCCGATCTTCCAACCGGAGACCTTCGGCGATAGCCCCCTTCATTGGCACGGGATATAACAGCTGATCGATATGGAGCTGTGGATAAGGTGTCAAAGGTTTCCAAAGTTGTGTGCATCCTTATATCTCACTGTCTTTGATCCTCTGTGCTACGTTTGCGCGTCTCCTCGGCACCAACAGGACCTTAGCGGGTCGATAGGGAGCTGGGGACCACATGTCAAATGTTACCCAAGTCTTCTGAATGCTCAGAACTCACGATCCAGTTCTGAGTTTGCCTTTTGTCGGGGACGCACGAGCTCCTCGTGCCCAGAAGCCTCTTCCTGCTCCGGAATGTGTGCATATGGCCTACGGTGTTGCGTGCTCATCTTGAAGCCTTGTTCTGTGGCAAGTATTTATTAATAAGAATGGCTCAAGGAAACCAAGAGGGAATCTACCAGACAACCAAGTGTCCAGCAAATACAAGGGAGATGGTGGCTCGCTCACAGAAGTTGACATGACCACGTGATTGATGTTCTTACATGTGACACTGGAGTTAATTCCAAACAAAAAAACGGACTGGCCCCGAATCGAACGAGGAACTTCTTACTTAGGGAATGAATCTTGGATGCTAAGCCAGTCAAGATGTTTTACCATTAGACTACCAATCCATTGGTAAAACTGGAATTGGGATCATAGGTATAACAATAATTAATAATCTGGCTAAAAAATCTAAAAGGGATTAACTGACCCCGATTCGAACGAGGATCTTCTGTGAACACAACCTGTGGGCGACGGGTGCACCGGCAGGTCAGTTCTACACAATGTCTTACCATTAGACCATCAGCCCATTAATATTGTAAGCAGTACTGGATGGCATCACCAATTTAGGAATGTGAATATTGAAGTTGGAAATCATTTATTGACTAGGTGAAGGAGAGTGTTAACAGTCACACAATTCTGAAGCGCGTAATTTCAATTTCGCAAGTACAGTACATATGCGCAAGAATAGTACAAATAATCATTTCAACTTATGCATCATCCCTCCAGAGAAACCGCATGGCTGAGCAGTATGTAGGACCTGGTAATCCCGGGGCTTTTGAAGCAATCGTCGCGGGTTACGCTGCAGTCAACAGCGATGGCGTGGCCCATTTCCAATGTTTCTAGGAGTTTGCTGTTCTGGTCGAAATCAGTTCTTTATCTGTCTAGATGACAGGCAACGTACCTTGGTGCGATTGTCGAGCAAGCGAATAGGAATATAATCGACGGGGACCTCGGAGCGTGCGTATGGGCGGCGGCGCCCTGGTACCGTGGGATGCTCGACGACTTCCTCCAGGTCCGGCTTCACCTGCACGTCAGCACACGCACGTGCCCAAGACTGACCATTATAACTCACAGAGTACACCCCTTGCTCGGAGGCCACTAAGTCTTTCAAAACCTTGCACTGGCCCTCGAATTCGGCCTCTTTGCCTCGTATGGCGGACAGTTCGATGTAGTATCCGGTCTGAGCGATGTCAGTATTGCATTCCGGCTCGTCAACCCATACCACGTACCCCATTGCCGGTTGCCTGTTTCATGACGCGGACCACCTTCCCGTGAACCCCGACCGGGGCCCTCCATCCAGGATGTACTTGTAGCATACAACCTCGCAGTCTTCGATGACGCCGACCAGTATGCGCCGGAATTCGGTTGAGGACCGTACGAGCCGGAGATCGACGGTAGTTTTTTGGTTATGCGAGCCGTCGAGTACGTTCATGAGTATGGCGTGGAAAATGGAAAATTGGTTGGTGCTGCGCTTATATATTCGGCTTCTTCCGTTGAACTGCATGGGTCATCCATTGCGTCGTGCTGCGGGATATCATTATTAGGATAGCGTGGTCACGAACATCGCATTCGAGCGAAAGAACTGCCTGGCGACTGCACACCGAGCAGGTGCTGGGCAAGTGGCATTAGTAAGGGAGCACGACAGATCAGTATGATTGTAAGGATAGCGCGGTCACGAACATTGCATTCGAGTGAAAGAACTGCCTGGTGACTGCGCACCGAGCAGGTACTGGGCAAGTGGCATTAGTAAGGGAGCACGACAGATCAGTATAATTGTAAGGATAGCGTGGTCACAAACATCGCATTCGAGCGAAAGAACTGCCTGGAAACTGCGCACTGAGCAGGTACTGGGTAAGTGGCATTAGTAAGGGAGCACGAAAGATCAGTATAATTGTAAAGCTCAAAAGAAATTGAGACATAAATGTAAGTCAGATAGCAGAGACGAGCGCATCACGAACATCGCATTCGAACGAAAGAGCTGACTGGCGACTGCGCACCGAGCAGGTACTGGGCAAGTGGAATTAGTAAGGGAGCACGACAGATTACAAAACAGTATAATTGCAGCGCTCAAAAAAATGGAGACATAAATATAAGTTGGATACATTGTGCATGGAATACAACAAACCCTGCGTGCGCGGTTAAATCCATTCATCTGGGCATGAGGTTGACCAGGATTAAAGGATGCATCGACAGATATTAAGTCAGACATACCCTTCATATTATTCCTCTTGGCACAAGGCTAAGTCATTGGAAGCAATCGGAGGGCAATCTGAGCAAACATCAGAAAAAAATCGAGAGGTATCAGGCCACACGCACCTCCGTAAAGCGGGCCCAATCCCATTGCGTCAGCTTCGTCTTTTAGGCGCGCCGTGCACGCCTCCGCATCCACCACGAGGTCAGCCGTTGCTTGAAAAAGGCGACTATAATATCCCTTGCGCGTCTGGGCTTCACTGTCTTGCTTTTCGAGGAGATCAACCTCCGCACGCACTATATCGATGGTCGCTTGCCTTGTAGTCCTGGCAGAGCAGGCCTCGTTGACAATAGCCAACCAAAAACGCGCCTCAGCCCACTGTGTCTCGACAATGGCACGGGCGATTCGGTACATGTGTTCTGTGTGTTCTCTGCCACTGAGAGTGGTTGAAGTCGAAGCTCGACGATTCTACTGACCGGTCAAGGACATCTAGCTGAGAGTCATGAGACATGACGACGAACCAAGCCTAGATCGACCGTACGGGCCATATTGGCGTCTTCGTCGTCTGACATCGTATATTCTGCCTTGCGACTTGCGTGAAACAATGGGAGCTGCTGCCTGCCACTGGGAGGCGACTCGCGCCAAACAATGGGAGCTAGTGGAAGTAAGAAGCAGAAGACTTGGTCTCGACGGCCTTATGTGGTGCCGCCTTGTAATGCGATCTGATCCGAGTCAGTGCTGTCAAGCCACGATCACGGTTTGCACACTCCGAACGGAACACTACCTGGTGCAAATCGCCTCGTAGTTTCCCAACAGGCTGGAGCAAGTCTGAAGCAGCCGCACCCGCGTCTCAGCAGAACACTACGGCCGGCAGAGTTAAGTCAGGTGTCATCCGCGAGCCCGGAACTTCCGCTTCCCAGACCCCTTCGAGTGCCTCTACAGGAACCGCGTCTCGGCTGCAGAACGCAACGGCCGACACCTCTAAATTCAGACTCAAGTCAGATGTCATGCGCAAACCCGGAACTTCCGCTTCAAAGACCCCTTCGAGCGCGTCTACAGGAACCACGTCTCAGTTGCAGAATGCAACGGCGGGCATCTCTCAGCCCAGACTCAAGTCGGGTGTCATGCGCGAGCCCGGACATTCTGCTTCTCAGATCGTGCCTAAAGAAACCGCGTCTCAGTTGCAGAACGCAAAGGCCGTAACCTTTCATTCCCAGCCAAACCACACACACAACTCTCAGAACCCTTCGAGTGCAGCCGCGCGCACGTCTCAGCAGAACGCAACGGCCGGGCCCTCTCAGCCCCAACTCAAGCCCAGCGCTTCTAGCGCGTTCAAAGGAGCCGCGTCTCAGCCGCAGGACGCAACGGCCCTGACCTCTCATTCCCAAGTCAAGCCAGACCGCATGATCCCGTCTGGGCCCATCGAGCCCCCCGGGGCTGCAGGGGTCTCTGGACCCAATCTGGAGCACAGCAACGAACTGGTCGACGAAGACCCGGACCCATTTTCGCTTGTATATGACCGCACCACGGGGCGGTTCAACACGGAACGAGCTGTCTTGCTGACTGGCAAAAAATGCGAGAGAATGCTGGAGCCATGGTTTTGCAGCGGACTCCGTGCATGCAGATCTTCACCGACGACGACGTTTCTTCGGCAGGGACACATTATTTTATGGCCGTAACTCTCTGTGTTCTCTCTGGCAACGAGGAGGTCGCGTCTGCCTATACCGCGGATGGAACGAGGGATGTCCATATTTATTCATTAAACCATCTACTTACTTGCTTGTTCAGGTTTTCATTGTTGTCGAGGGGTCGATCACTTTCGCCATTGATCAGAACCCAGAGAAGCTTGTCGCAGCTGGCGGTACTTTCCTAGTCCCGTGGCAAAATACCTTTATTCTCCGCAATAGGAGCGACCAGCGTGCAGTCTTTACATGTGTCCAAGTGCAGCCCATATGCGACTGCCATAGCAGGGGCGTTGACAACGGCTCGGCGGCGCCTTGAGCTATGGCAGCAGGCACGAAGGTCGGGACTGGTCATGGCGGATGCGGAGGGCACGCACCAGGAGGAGGGTCCTGCCGATGCTATTATTTCTTGGAGAGCTGGCGCATTTTTCTTGCAATAGAACCTGTTGGCCTCGGTCGCAATCACACTATGATCCCTGTATACGTATCATTGTATAATACCTTGTAATCATACCTAAATTTCTTGGAACATTCTGCAATGCAAAGCAACAATTTATTGTGCTCCGATGCCGCGTGGGAAGCCTGGGAAAGCCCATTGACCCGATTGGGATTCCCAAAATGGAAGTATTGTCTTTTTCCCTCCACCATGACTATCGGACGACATCGTCCGGCAGTCCTCTTCTCCTCCATCATCGAGCAACATCGCTGACCTCCCGCTGTCTCACGATGATTGTGAGGCAGCCAGGATTCTGTGTTCTCAATTCCCAAGGGCCTCCGAATGGACTGAGGTACGTCCTTTGGTTTTCTTTTTCTGCCACTCGTACTCATTTCCCCGCAGCTGCGACTTCCTCCTCCATCATCGCGCAACATCGCTGACCTCCGGCTATCTTGCGATCATCGCGAGGCAGCCAGGATTTTGTGTTCACAATTCCCAAGGGCCTCCGAGTGGACTGAGGTACGTCCTTTGGTTTTCTTGTTCTGCCACTCGTACTCATTTCCCCACAGCTGCGACTCCCTCCTCCATCGCGCAACATCACCGACCTTCGGCTGTCTTGCGATCATCGCGAGGCAATCAGGATATGCGTTCTCAATTCCCCAGGGCTCGGAGTGTGAAGTACGTCCTTGGGTTATCTTGTTCTGCATGTATTCATCTCCCCGCAGCTGCGACGTCTTCTCGCCACGTCTTCCCATTGTACCGCCCCGCTCCGTCGCTATCCCGGTACCGGCCCGCCCATGTGATGTGAACTAATGCCATCAATCACGGGACCTGGTTGACTTCCTTCCACCCGCATGGCTGGACCGTCGAAGTCATCGAAAGCAACGAACGTTTCGGGCACCCGCCAGATTACGACCCGCAGCGCCTCCCGGCAACAACAGCAGCCGCAGCCACAGGCCCAGCTCTCCAGCTGTTCCTCTGAGGACGGCAGCAACGACGAAGGCTCTTTATACCAAGAGCCGAAGAAGAAGCAGGCGA